GATGACTTCCACAGCCTAAATCGTCTGTCAACCTCAGGGCTATTCAACAGTGTTTATGTGTCTATTGTCTGTGTCTTGGCAGAAGAGTATGTGCCTTTTCTACTAGGAAAATAGTGGTCTTGAAAATTAACTAGAATTATGATGGAGGTGACATGATACTGTTTTGGGATTGTGGGACGTTGAGCTAGCCTACATCTGGTGTAATGTGCTCGTATGGCTTGTCTCCCTGTGACATCTGGGGAAAGGTAGCTTACAAGCTTGCAAGATGATGATGATGATGATGATGATGATTTGTGTTCACACATTTTTTTTTAGCCAACTTTAAGTATAAAGTTACTTTGCTGGTCTAAGAATATTTGTTTTATTTTGCTTTCCCTTCCTTACCTACATTTCCTTCAGCTTCTATATATGACCTTCTAAAGATGTCATTATAGTGTCTTTAGTTCTTCTGGCTGATGAATTTTCCAAATGGAAAAAGATGCTTTCCATTAGAATTTTAATGTTTCTTGGTTGGTTGGTTGGTTGGTTGGTTGGTTGGTTGGTTGTAGAGTTAGGTAGATTGGGTGTTGTTTTATTGATAGTGAAATTTTCTTTTTGAGACCAGGTCTCACATGTGGCCCATGTTGGCTTCAAAGTCACGCTGTAGCCCAAGCCGAACTTGAACTTCTGACCCTCCTAACTCAGCATTCTAACTTCTGGGTTTACACACAGCACTACATCCTGCTTAAACTTCACTTTCCAGATGCCCCTTTCCTCTAAATTCATTATCCCTTCAGATATTCAGTCACTAACATAACACCTAAGTCTTTTTTGGCCAATTTTGAAGTTTCCTGAAGAAGTCTAAGTGCCCCTTCTAAGATGTGCTTTCATTTGCATGGATGAGCTCTGAAAAGAATCATCTCATCCCCTCAGAGTTTTCATGATTCATATAGAAAATCATCCCAGAACTGTCACCTCACAGAACACATTTAATCAGTGAGAAACCTATAGAGACAAGCAATGGAAGACAAATAGGACAGCCTAATGTATTTAGGATAAAGGGAAGTGCTTACAATATGGAAGAACTATAATACCTACATCCAAACTCTACAATGTAGAGAATCCCCATAGACAGACAGACAGACAAACAGACAGACAGACAGTCAGACAGACAGATGACAGATAGGCAGATAGATTAATAGATTAGATAGATGGAGAGAGAGAGAGATGACAGATAGACAGACGTCATAGATTAGATAGATAGACAGAGAGAAAGAGAGAGAGAGAGAGAGGAAGAGAGAGAGAGAGAGAGAGAGAGAGAGAGAGAGAGAGAGAATAGCTATCACTCTCTATCTCCTAACTTTATACTTTCTTCTTTCTCTTTTTCCCACCACCTTCTCCTCCATTCCTCTCTTCTCTCTTCTGTCCTCTTTTCTTCCCTCTATAAAGGTTTTACAATGGTTCCTCAACTATTGAGCTCCACTAATATAAAAAAAGATGGGAGATAAATAGTGAATGTAGATAAGGACAGAAAGGACTTCAAAGTCCAGCCATGGGACTGTTCGTGAATATAAATTATATCCTACAGCCCTCTGTCTTAAAGCACTTGGCATAGTTTATTAATACTTAAATGAGTCTTTTGTAGTAATGAAAAATCAACTTATTAGCGGCACCTTTAAGAAGACAGTTAGGTGCTGGAGAGATGGCTCAGCAGTTAGGAGTGCTTGCTCCCCTAGCTGCTCTTGCAATGGACCAGAATTAATTTTCCACTCACTACATCCAGCAACTCACAACACCCTGCAACTCCAGCTCCAGGACATTGAATATCCTTGTCTGACTTTTGTGGGTACCCATACACACTTGTGCGCAGACTGACAGACAGACAGACAAATTTTAAACTCTATGTAATAGACAAAGAATATATTTATGTGCATATTCCTTAGAGGTATCTTCCTTACAGTAGTTGATATTTTGAAAATCTTTGTTGGGTGCATGGGAGAACCATTGAATGACATGAATTAGTATCCCAGGAACACAGTCAAACAGTAGCAAGCCCTTTCTAAAGGAGAGTTTAGCAGATTTAGTAAGAACCAGTAGAAAATAAGGGAACTGAGTTTTGCTTAGGAATTTGTATGGCAAAACGACAAGTCACACAATTCTATTCATTAATAATGTTAACACATAATAACAGTAAAATTTTTGTAATAAGATCTACTTATAAGAAAGATGGAGAAAGCACAGTCCTCTTTGGAGGGACAACGTTTAGCTCACTACACTTCCCTATTGACTTTTTTGTTGTTGTTGTTCATCTGTCATACTGCTCTGCTGGGATTTCTTCATATTTCACATAGTCCATCTTTGTAAGTTCTTTATTCAGAACCTTCCAAGTCCACAATTTATGAGCATATGATCTTAATTGAACATATTCAGTGCATGGAAGGAATTTGTAGAATTCCATTAGATTTTTCCCTTGATATTTGTCTTGTAACATGCCGTTACATTGTAGCCTAATCATTTCCAATGGAAGGTTATGTGGAAACGTCTCAACTGTGCAAATAGATGGAGAAAAATAGAATCCTCTTCTTCCTGTCTCTAAAATACGCACCTGAAACAGAGATCAGAAAATCTGGCAGAGACCTCCCTTTTGTGTTAATTTTTGACAGTACAGATAAGTATAAGGCTCCTAGTGTTGCATGTGATTTGGTTTTGAAGTAATTACAGTGTATGTTTTATATACAATCACTGTTCTTCTGTGTTATTTTGAGTTTCATTAACTAATAAGCACTGTAATGTCTACAGCAAAATCTAATTGCTTTTAGTTTTGGTTTTGTTTTTTGTTTTTGGAGATGGGGTCTTAAGTATCCTAAGGCTAGCCTCAGACTCACTTTGATACCAAGAATGACCTTAAGCTCTCAGTCTTCCTCCACCTCCTGAGCACCAGGATCGTAGGTGCCGACCACACACTGGTTTAGGTAGTGCTGGGGACTGGCCCTCAGGGCCCCACGCATGCCAGACAAGTCATTCATTCACTGTGCTACGTCCCATGTAACTTCTTTCTTTATCTGACTTTCTTTACTCTGGGACGATTTCAGACATTAAAAACAACTTATTTAGCTGTCCTCTTAATAGAGGGATGTTTCTCCTGCTTAGGGGAGTTTTTGTCTTGCCTCAAAATACTTTAACTAAGCTATATTTAATACCAAGCCACTGGATATTATGTAATTGGACAAATTAAGATAGCCCATCCCTCATTTTTGATTGAAAACTTTATAGAACCAAAGAAAATTAAATCCACAAATGCCAATGGGATTCACTATTGACACACAGTTTGGATAATCTATATATTATATTCAAATATTTTCCTCAGATTCCCTGAAGACAAATAATGCAATGATATTTATAGCTTTGAAAACCAGAATTTTCCCAAGCATGGACATTTTTCCAGCAGCTCTTTGTCTGTTGGTCTGTCACAGCTGTCAGTTTTGTCAGCTCTCAGAAGGTTCCGCTTCAGCTTGTATTATCTTCTTAACTTCCCTGACCACAGTCTTCCTTGCAGCCATCCACAGCCTATTCCTGCAGGTTACCTTCCTCTATCATTTCAAACTCAGCATTGACTCCTCGAATGAACAACTCATCAGTATTACAAACTTCTGTTGGTTTACTAAGAGCAAGAAAGCCACTTTAAAATCATTCCCTATGTCCTCCAACTGTTGATTCTATTAAAATGTCAACATTTCAAACAATATTCTTACCAAAAGGCTAAACAATCTTGAACAAGCTTTTGGGGTTTTGTTTTGTTTCTACAGGATGTAATTCAGTCACCACAAACAAGGTTAATTCTTTACTGGGCTGACAATTGAAAGCCTTATTTTATTTCAGCCTTCTTTAAAAGGGGTGTGTCTGTGTGTGTGTGTGTGTGTGTGTGTGTGTGTGTGTGTGTGAATTCTGCTATGATAAGACACTCCTTTTTAAATTTTTTTCTAATTTTCTATCCCTTGCATTCATGTAAAGTTGAAATGTCCTTGTTCTGATATTGCTGGAGTGTATGTAGTTTTAGTGATAGATGGGATTTCAGTACATAATAAATGCAAGAGTTTGTCATTTAATTTGCTAAAAAGAAAAAAACCCGCATTCTGCTGCATCTATAAATCATGACATTCAAGGTTCACCTTTTTTTTATTTTGACATGGTACATATGTTCCAATAATAAAAGACAAGAAATAAAAATTTACAGGAATACCATGTACGTCCCATTTGAAACTCAGCCTCACTCCAATCTGCTTTCAGCAAACAGAAGAAGTACTAACATCTCTGCCAGAGCTCCTCAGTTCTGCTACTGCACAAGCGAAGCCAGGGCCGATACATTAAGGAATAAGTGTGGCTGTGTCCCAGTAAAACTTTATTAGTATTTATTAACATTTTAATTTCATATACTCTTCACATTTTACATTATTGCTAGTATTCCTATTTTCCCGTCATTAAATGTGAAGAACTATGATCATGTTATAATGTATACAGCAACAGCTGAATGCTTCTGCATTTGGTTTGATAGACATAGATGGCCAATCTTGATCCAGGATTTGGTTTTATGTATTTAATATTGGCTTGTTTATCTTTATGTTCAAACTGTTTTTACTGGGTTTCCCAGAATTGCATAATTGAGAAATAGAAAATTCTTTGTGATGAGACATCCTTCTGTAAGAGTTGCTGTGCAGAGCAAAGTATCCATCCTTAAGTAAGAAGAGAGCAAAACCTACTGCACAGCCTGCTTATGACTTGTATTGTTTTATAGTCTCTATTTTAAAAACCTAAGATCTTATTAACTATAATTAGACATTTTGTATGAATGGTGAGGCTCCCAACGCTTCTTTATTGTTTCACTTTTGCGGGAAAGCACAACTCTCAAACCTGGGCATTGCGTCACCTGCAGCCTCTAGAAACACGTTCCTTTCTATGTTTATCAAGTCTCTACATTAACTTTCTCCAAATGTGCTAGTTTCCATTTCTTGTCTGTTATTTAGGGCGTCACAGGCAGCCCAGGAAGAACAGGATTGGCTGGATCCCCAGGTCCTCAAGGAGGAAAGGGCTTGTCAGGCCCTCCAGGAAGCCCTGGTGTTCCGGGACCAAAGGTACTTTCCTTTTGTGTGTCAGGATCCTGCATATACTGACTAGGTCACAGCTGAGTTTGTCTTCATCTGGCTAATAGTAAAACCACATTAGGAAAAAGAACTATATATGGCCTACACGTGTCTGTTTCCTGTGGCCACCAGACACATGACTGGTGGGACTTCCAAACTATCCTCTGTCTCACTCTCAGCCGCCAGGCATAGCTCACTCGCCGAGAGCTAGAGGCATTTCTACAAAGTTCCTTCCTCATTTGTTTTGGGCTCTCCTTCTCTGTCATCTGCCTTCTACAATTAGAGAAATGGAGTTTACTGCCAGATGCATACTTTCTCAAGTACACTTCTTCTTCTAAAGCTGAATGTAACCACTGTTCCATAATCCTGACACTAGAACCACCCATTGCTGAGGTTGGTAAGACTGGAATGATAATCTCTGTAAAACCAGGTCCATCCCTCAGGATCCACTCGATTTCCAGTGTCATGTAGCTGAGTCGTCTCTGGAACACAGGGAAACATCAAAATGATCGCTTATGTACAAAGCATGTTCTGTGTCTCATAATGCTTTCTACACGCCACACCTCCCCCGTTTTCTCTGAGCCTTCTCCTATGCATTTCATAGGCTCCCCCTTCCCTGTTCTTCCCACAGGCAGACCACCCAAACCCTTGGAATTTTCTTTACTTATGGCAATACTTTTTGCTTATTATAATAAAATTTTATGTATGGGAAATGGTAGAAAGGATGAAGATGATATATTTTGACATCCCCAATGCCTTGTGCTATTCAGAAAAATATTTCAGAATAGCACAAGGCATTGGGGATGTCAAATATATCATCTATGAGACATATATATATATGTCTCATATATATGAGAATATATATCATATATAATATAATATATATTATATACATACATTATATACACATATATATACACACACATTAATATATTCATAGGTTCTGAGGTCCTAACCACATTTCTTTGTCTGGTCTGTAGGGTGAACAAGGGCTACCTGGTCAGCCTGGAATTCCAGGTCAAAGAGGTCGGCGAGGAACACAAGGTGACCAAGGACTACATGGAGAGCCTGGTCTGAAAGGGCAGCCTGTATGTATCAACTCTGAAATCACCACACACTTACTCCACAAGCCGGGCCACCAGTGTACAGTAACAATTGTCCTGTCTGTTTTCCTTGCAGGGAGAACATGGTGATCAAGGTTTGACAGGTTTCCAGGGATTCCCAGGCCCCAGAGTACGTGTATATATGTTCTGATAGTCGTACACATATCTCAAAAAAAGAGGCATTTAAATAATCAATATTTAGTCTATGACTTGAGCCTTTCTTTAATTTTTAAAATTCTTATTGGCGTACCCATATGTTTGAGTTAAAATGTTCATTTCAAAGCCTGTCTAATTGCTGAAATTAGTGAGCTGGAAAGATTAGCGTTCAGGGCAAGCCTGGGATATAAGAGACCTTGTATGAAAAAACAATTAAAGTAAAGTGGAGAGCTGGCTCACGGAGTAAAGCACTTGCCACACAAGCATGAGGACTTGGGTTCTGGTCTCCGGAATCCACATCAAAGCCAGTCACAGAATCTCAGGCTGCCTTCATCCCAGTACCCACTGTCCAGCTAGGCTGCACATGCTGCACATGCAGCAAGAAAGACCCTGTCAGAAACACAGTGGAGCACGGTGCCTGTCCTCTAACTCTCCACACAAGTATCTACTCTCATACACACTCAGATATGGCACACATCCACACCCACACACATGTACACACACATACACACACACACGTTGATAAAACATTTCTATAATCTTATGTCCCATCAATATTCTTATATGATTGTCTTTTGTTCCCATTTTAAGAACTATTCTTGACAGTTCTTTCTAGATTGACATAAGACTCTTCATTTGTAAAATATTTATGCAAGGTCATATACAAGGTTAAAGCAGGCTTTCTGATTTTCGTTGTGTCTCTAGGGTCCAGAGGGGGACGCTGGCATTATTGGAATTACAGGCCCTAAAGGTCCCGTTGGGCAGAGGGTAAGTATAGAATCATTCTGTCACCCAAGACCTCTGCTTGTTTGCTTTAGTGTAGGACTTTAAATTAACATACTTCACACTATAAGAATAACTTAATAAAGTGATTTTTAAGATGAAAGCTCGTAACAACATGTGCAAGCGCCATCCTTTTACGCCTCATAAATTAGTTTGAGCAAAATGCTATCATAGGCCACCCACACTTCTCAGTTCTTATTTTAAAAAGGAAAAAAGAATCACCAGAGTAGCTGTGGAGAATAGACAGTATATCTGTTAACCCGTTCCAGCTTCAAAAAACAAAGCAGTTTGTGTCATGCGCATTAATACAGAGGCTGAACAGCAGCCACCCGGGGAGGCTGGCCTCTGCCCAGAGCTCTTTCTTTTTCTTTTTTTTGAATATCGTTTAATATTTTTATTCTTTGTTTTGTTTTGTTTTGTTTTGTTTTTTACTGGATATTTTATTTACATTTCAGATGTTATCCCCGTACCTCATTCCCCCCTGCCCAGGAACCCCCTATCCCACCTCCCTTCTCCTGCTTCTATGAGGATATGCCCCCACCCACCCCCTCACACCCACCCTCCCCACCCTGGAATCACAGCTAACCATTGAACTGATCAAGGGGTTCCCAATGGAGGAGTTACAAGACTGTAGGAGCTGAAAGGGTTTGTGGCCCATGGGGAGAGCAACAATACCAACCAGCCAGAGCCCCCAGGGTCTAAACCACCAGCCTGGGAGCACTTAGGGAGGGATCCATGGCTCCAGAGCTCTTAAGGCCACACTTTAACAGCTCTTTCCCCAAAGCTGAGTTTTCTCCACTCAGGATCAGATATGCCAAGAGAGTACTACGAACGGCAGAAACACTTCCAAAAATCAAAGGCTAGCAAACTTCATTCCAGGCTCACTCTGCCTGGACCCACAGAATGCAAAGTAAACGAGCCAGTCCTGGTCAGTGTTAGTTTTGCTTTGTTATGTTTTTTTTTAATTAATTGCACTATCATAGTGAGGGATGGTCTTTGAAATGGAAACAAAATAAAACAAAGATTTTTAAAGCTTCAAATAGTGACTTGGCTGTGGTCATAGCCACTCCACGGTTTGCAGGAGCTGCTAGGGCTCGGGTGGGCAGGAGAAAGAGGAAGGAAAATCTCAAATGCAGCAGGAAAGATTCCTGCAGAGCCTTATGGACCCGGAACCACTGTCTTGGTCAAAGCAGTGAATGAAGTCAGACTTAAAATTCTGTAGCCCTCTCTAATTCCAACAATAACTTGTTTTTTAACGAAATAAAGAGCAGCATTGTCTGGGGTGTTCGCTTGGAATCCTGCACACGTGGTCAGGGGTACGTTTGCTGGGTGTTTTCACCATTTCTAAGGAGCCAAGGAAAGTGGGTCCACAACTGCGGTGTGCAAATGGGCGATCATACAATTGCTTTTATGGCCTCGTCAGTGTCTGGCTGCTGTCAATAAGTGGGGTTCCATGAAAGGAGCCAGGAATAGAGCCTGTATCACCCATGAGGTGTCATGGGTCAGTCCCTTTTGTTACCTGATTAACAGTACAGGGTACAATTCATGTAAAGAGTCCACAAGGCTCAGAGTAAGAAAAAACTTGGGTGACAAGGAAAGGTCTTGATGTGCTAGCATTGGGGAAGGGTCTCGGGAAGGTGTACCAATGTCCAGTCTGTGTCTCTTATGTCATTTAATCCTAATTAAAATATCCCAAGAGTGCTGTCACCCCACTTTGCAGCTCGAAAAGCTAAATCTCTGGAAAATATCTCCAAGACCATGGTATGATAGCATGCCAACACAGGAAGAGTTTGTCTCCCTATCTGATTGACCAAACCACGTGCTTCAGGGCTTCTCACTCAAGCTGCAGAAGCAGAATGCTCAGTCGGGAGTAAGTGCCCTCGTCCGCTTCCTGCTCCCAAAGTCAAAAGGAGCTTGATGACTAAGCATGAGTAATTAAGTTAGAAAATCAGGATTTTATTGTGTCCCATTCCAAAAACATGCTTACATAGATAACCTCTACCTACTACGTAGATAACTGGTACCTACTACTAAAATCATAATGTGATGTTTGCGAACACTTAGATAAATGTACATAATTGTTAACGTCTTCAGTGTATTTCTCTGAGTGTTACTCTATACCTTTCTAGTAACATTATTTGGGAAATGTATGTCATAATTAGACTAAAGTTTCCTCAACGTCTATCAAGTCTGGAGGCTACACTAGATTAAATTAAAATATCAACTTTCTCAGTTTAATTATAGATCTTTGAAATTTGAATACCGTGTTTATAAATTACCTCTTAAAATTTGTTATCTTTAAAAAGTGATCTCAACTCATTTAGACTCTCGGTAATTTCTAGTTTGCAGGCATACTTACTATCAGAGCTGTTGGACAATGGGCTACATCACATTAGATTTAAATGGACAGCATTTTCTTATTGCCACATGTTGTAGGAAAAGAGAAAACCTGTTAGATATTTATAGTTGTGTATTCCATACTAACTGTCAATAAGAAAGAGAAATTTTCTGTCAACTGAAGTGGAAAGTAGAATTTGATAGAAAGATAAATAAAATGAGTATTTTATATTCATTTGAAAATGACAGTCTATGGTGGGGGAGCACCCTCATAGAAGCAGGGGGAGGGATGATGGGATGGGGGTTTGCAGAAGGGAGACTGGGAAGGCGGGTAACATTTGAAACGTAAATACATAAAATATCCAAATAAAAAAGAAAGAGAGAAAGAAAGAAAGAAAGAAAGAAAGAAAGAAAGAAAGAAAGAAAGAAGGAAAGAAAGAAAGAAGGAAAGAAAGAAAGAAGGAAGAGAGGGAGGGAGGGAGGGAGGAAGGGAGGGAGGGAGGGAGGAAAGAAAGAAAGAAAGAAAGAAAGAAAGAAAGAAAGAAATGAATGAATGAAAGAAAGAAAGAAATGAATGAAAGAAAGAAATGAATGAAAGAAAGAAAGAAATGAATGAAAGAAATGAATGGAAGAAAGAAATGAATGAAAGAAAGAAATGAATGAAAGAAAGAAATGAATGAAAGAAAGAAATGAATGAATGAACTTACTAGCTACCCAGTTCATTCAGGGACATCCTCATAATCAACAGATCAGACACTAAGCACCTTTCATGTCCAGTTTTGCAGTGTCTCACAGAGGAGCCTGCTGATTGGTTGGTCACATGAGATGCCCTCTGGTTCCACCCTGTACTCCCTTTCTGCCATGTGTCATGGAACCCAGACACCCATCCCTTCATCGCTTATACAAAAACTCATTCACAAATGTGTGCCTTGTTCTAGAACCCTTAAGGAAAGCAACGTCGTCTGTTACATAATGCTCCGCATACAAATTATAATCTTGGACTTCTCATCACATGAACATTTCAATTTTGATTCCTATTAGTTAGAAATAACTTACAGCGATTGAAAACTACAGCAACATAACAACTTTATCATGTGGTGTCAAAATTACTATAATGCTAAGAATATACTCTGCTATATGCTAATATGCTAATAATATAAAAACGTCACTCCAATGGACTTTTTTTAAGACTGAGACTGAATGCTTTCTTTACCTCCAACAGGGAACTGCTGACCCTCTTGACCGAGAAGGGTTAATGATATACTAAACCAAAACTATTTAGAGATAGCTATTTTATCATTGCACATGTTTTCTGTTTTGTTTTGTTTTTTTTCTGTAATGTATATGGGGAATGAGACTGACTATTGACATTGGGCCTTTCTATGCCCATCCTAGTTCTCAAACAATGACACAGAGACTTACATTTATTTATAATGCTTTTGGCCTTAGCTCAGGCTTGCTTCCCAGATAGCTCTTAACTTATATTAACCTGCTTATACTAGTCTATATCTTCCACGTGACTGGTTACCTCTCATCCGTTCCGTAAGCCAGATTTCCTCAGAATCTAGATGCTGAGTCTCCTGTGCCTGACTCTTTCCCAGAGTTCCTCGCTCTGTCCAGAAGTCCCACCTTACTATCCTGTCTTTTGCTATAGGCCGTAAGCTTTTTATTTTAACCAATCAAAGGGTGCCTTAGGCAAGGAAGGACAGAGACTCATGTTCACACAGTGTACAAAAACATCACTCCAGCAGACATTTTTAGACTGAAACTGACTGCTCTCTTTACCCCAACAGGGAAACACTGGCCCTCTTGGCAGAGAAGGAATAATAGGCCCAACAGGTGGAACTGTAAGTTTATTACAACATAGCTTTTATTACTATTATGTTGTTGGTGATGATAATGTTGTTGATCCTTTTTCTAAACTCTTAATTCTAGAATACTCCAAAATGAATCAGCCTGGGCATTTGGGAAGCAAAGGTTGAAAAAGCAGATTTCCTTCTGGGAGACCGCTCTTCATGATTATAAAAAAATAGATTTGAATGGTGGAGGCACTCAAAGCTGGAGAAAAGAAAAACAAAACTGAGCCAGGAAGGGGGAGAGTAGCAAACACAGAAGCGGTCACTAAAGCTGTAAAAATAGGCCCAGCTCTGAAAGAAAGAACACAGAAAGTGAAACGAGTCCCGATCACCAAGATCTGAGTCTTTACCTCAGTTTTTCTCAGCTTTCCTAATGTTGTGACCCTTTAATACAGTTCCTCCTGTTGTGATGTTCAATGCCCAAAGAGGTAGCAACCCACAGGTTGAGAACCTCTGGCTTAAAAGTACCCACTTTAAAGGGTAAGATGTTGGTAAAATGAACAAGAAAAGCAGGGTAGTGAAAGACATGACAGAAAGGAGTCTCAGTGCAGGCTACAGTGTGAGACTATGAAAATGTGAGAGGCTAACTTTTCTCAGAGGATTTTTGTCATCCCTGTGGCTTTTATTTTGCTTCGTTTTCTGTGACATCTCTCAAATTGGTACAACACATGGTTCGGGAGGGCATCATTTCTGCTCAGTGGGTGACATTTATAGAGGTCCATCTGGTTCGTCAAGGTAAGGGACCCAGTGATGTCTCCACCCATCCCAGCCATGTCTGGAGTGGGCATAGAGTCAGCATAGAGCCAGGGGTGAAGCAAAACCAAGAAATAAGACAATGACTGAAACACAGTCCCGGGGCCAATTACAGTCCAGACAAGTTCCACACAGAGGAACACAATAGGGTTGAGCCTGGGAAAACCAAGACTCAGTCCCTTCCGGGAAACCATATTATGAATCATTTGAAAGTGTTGTGTGTAGACATATTTAAATTTTAAAATGGGAATGTTTCAAATGTTAAGGAGAGCTCTTCTCTTTGATAAATTTAGAGAATCTGCCACGAAAGTTACTGGAGTTTATTCAAAAGAAATAAAACGTGTAACTCATTCTCTTGGCTTCCAACATTTGCTATTCAGAGCTACATAAAACTGTAGGTGGGAGAGATCTCATAGTTCAGTGGGTGGTTCTGCAGTACACGCTGTTCCGATTAAGGAACAATTGTTCTCCCCTGACAAAAATGTGAAGTATTATCGGTCAAGGAAAATGTGATAAAGAAATGTCTCAATGAAAATATCTCACTGTGTTTTGTTTATACCATAGTTGTTAAAGGTCACTGTGCTATTCAACGTGCACATCAACTTTCTTTTCAAATTTTTTCCATAGTCTGTTTTTTCCATTCTAAGAAGAATCCATTATAAGAAATAATCATCTGAAAATCTCTCTCTCTCTCTCTCTCTCTCTCTCTCTCTCTCTCTCTCTCTCTC